AAAGACAGCAACCAAAACCGGCGCACGAAAGTGCATGGTTAATGGTTGTTCGAACTGAAACTGAAACTTAGTCTCTTTGATCGAACCAATGACAAGATTGAACAGGCTTTCGAATTCTACATCCAATGGTTTGGTGACGGATATGCAGTGGTTCGATCGTCGCCATCGGCGTGCTGTGGACCCTACGGGTCTGACGTTCGAACTCCGCCGCCACCACCCAACTTTGTTGTCGTCCGGTTCAATATCTCACCTAACCTGGCGGGACTTTATGCGGTTCGCCACTCCAAGTCCCGGGGCTTCGGCCGCCGGTTTCTATCACTGAATAGCAGGTCTTCGCAACTATGAGGTCTCTCCCCGTCAACCATTTATCAGGCAAAAGATGTGTAACAAAAAATCAGAATCTATAATTTCCTTTTTAAAACAAAAGCTTGGATCTAACAATAGAATCTCAATATTTTTTGACGCTTGTGTGATGAACAGCAACAAGGTGTAAACTGTTCAAAGTATCGGCCCCGTGATATATTCGGTTCGCACGCTGTCAATGCCGAGGCAACATGTTTACACGAATTGCTTTTTAATTGGAAGCTAGTTCACTGTAGATTATGTTGTGTTGGGACTAGAAGTACAAATGACACGAGCGACTCTTGCTTAACCCCCAATAATAACGCGGAGGGAGAGCACGGCTTGAGACAACAGCCAGTGTTTTTTTCTTTGATTAGATTTAGATATGCAAATATATAGAACAAATCGCGCATACGAGAACGGCGCAGTGATGCATCAATCAATCAGATTGCGTCCATGACATATCGATTGATCGATTGGGCAAACATCAATTGATTCGTTCCAATCGGGCTCAGCTTTTCTGGAGCGTTGCGAGTGTGCGTGTAGCCTGACTCGGAGGCGTGCGCGATCGGACGGGTTGCTTAAGCTCCGTCCTAACAGATTGTACATGAAGAGGCCCAGTACATAGATACTTTGGGTTTAACTGCTGTATGTCGCCGAATCCGCCAAATTAGTAGTATACGACAGAAAAGTTTGAGGCAAAATCCTCTACCCACGATACTTTTCGGTGTCCCCATTCATAGACGGGCAAAGCAGGTGGATCATATTGTACACGCATAAATCATCCAATCTGTACACTGCATTTAGAATTCACGTGATGAGTAGCTCATAACCCCAGTATCTTAACTCCCCTTACTCCACTTGAGCTTCTTGGTTAAAACTTAAACGGATATGAGCTAAGGTTTAGTTGATAAGTTAAATACCAACAACTATCCATTTAATCTGACAGAAAAGTGAACTGATGAGTATGTTCAACTTGTTTTCAATAATCGGGCCTTCGTTAGATTGGAACGAGTCAAACAATCCACAGTTCAAGAGTGTTTCCCGCTCCTTTTGTCTTCTTTCTGTATTGATGAAATGGATGAAGGGAACTCAGTGCTTCAACTTATATTTATTGAATGGTTCACTCGTTTCTGATTCCAGGTTGTATGCTAAACAGATCACGGCACAGTGATTTTAATAACAAAGTAAAAAGTCAATGATTTGTAAGTGGGTGGATTTGCTTCAAGAATTTACTACTGGGCCTTCGGCTAACCAAACCTGGCCCTCGAGGTTGCGGGGCGGTGTGTGAAAACTGCAATCCATTGGGGGCCGGTGTCCAGTTCATCATACACTCTTTGTACAGGGTCAGACGTTCAAAGTGCCCAATGCACCTCGATGACCAATCGAGCGGGTAACCAATGTCACAACCAGGAATGTGTAAGTGTGTTGTGTTTGGTTCCTACGTCTCTTCTTGATTGATGTGGAATCAGAGTTTGAGGCTAGCTTGCCTAGGTGAACTGCCAGTGGTTCACTAACCCGGTTTCACCCCACCCCCATATGTTGACTTTTCGTCCTTTGGTGGATAAACATCAGGATGTCAAGGTAGTGATTTGGGTTTCGTCGACAGGGGCAGTTTGAAACGCTCGGTCGTATGGGAGCATTTAATGAGGTACAAGGGATGGGTGACCATCCGCAACCCAAGACGCTTTCCCTGACCGTATCGATGCTTTCGTAGGGTAGGGTTTACGCGCAGTGATAATCGTAAACGTTCAAAGTTTGCACACCTCAACCATCCGGAGCATGTGATGATGTAGGCTGTTGTAAGTGTGTTGTTCATTCAAACATTATTTGGTTGTTGTGTAACAGAAAATTTATCTGTCTTTTGGCGTAACTACATAAAACCCCACTCTATTGACTCTATAAATTCCTTAATGTGTTCGACATTTATTTAATCAACTGTTTGGAGTGTGATTGTGTTCAGTACTTGGTAACCTTATGAGCTTTGACCACCATTATCTATGTGACAGTTGAGCTACTCTCCACCCTCATTAGCATCTAACTTATTCATCCATTGTGCTTGAACATCTTGATTTCGAATTCACTCATCTGTCGTGTCTCACATACTGCGCAAATTTCAATACATTGGTAGTAGTTACTTTGGTCCACAATGTCTGTAGATTATTGATTTGCGTGCTTTAGATTACAGCCAAGCGTTTGTCAGAAATGGATCTTATTCCGGCATTGGAGGACATTGACTGTTGGCGATTGGCGTCCGCAGTACGTCACTTGACCTCGCTTCTCATCGAACCGGGAGTTTCCGTAGAGTCATCCGTGGTCGATGAAAATCACAATTCGTGTGCTCTGCGATCACCCCTGCCCGGCTATGAGAACCGCTTGCATCACCGGCTATGGGAACAGATGAATCATGCGGAAGGTTCGTGATTCTGCTGATGCAATTTGCTCTGATTTGGGGGTTATGGTCTGACTGTTCGGTTTTCTCATCTATTAGCAATGTTCTCTCTCTTGTGGACATGATGTGATGCTTTGAGGGGATTCATTTGTGACTAGGAACTGCGGTGTATGGTGCTGCCATTGGAAGCTTAGTGAACCGAAGGCATCCTACTGTCCGGCAACTATCTTCCGTGTACGTCACCATTTTGATGGCCATTGACAGCGTGTGCGGATTCCATCACCACCATTCCTGTCATATTTTTATATTTGTATTTGTCATACGCCTGAGTTCAGATTATATGCCGAATAAATCACGGTACAATAGTTTCTATAAAAAGAAAAACGGGCCCTGATTCGATTGAGGGTACAATGCTGCTAGGTTGCCCAGACCAAGACAGATGAATTTTCTTAGGGTGCTCACGACCGGAGCCTTCGGTTAGCGGAAGCCTGACCCCCAACGCAGTGGTGTGGTGTGAGAAAACCGCATTCCATTGGGAGCCAGTGTCCAGTGCATCGGTGACCACTTTCACATCCAGGAACGTGTGTACGTATTTGTGGTTCGTACGCCTCTTCTTGTTTGGTTTGGAATCAGCGTTTTTAGCCGACTCTCGTAGGTGAACTGCCTGCGATTCACCGACCCAGTTATAGCCCCGGATGTTTGCTCTTCATCCTCTCACTTTGGAGGGAAAACACCTTCGACACGAGAAGGCAGTGCCTAGGGCTACCTCGGCAGAAGATGTTTGAGACGCTTGGTTGTATGAGAGCATTTCACCAGGTGCAAGGGAAAGGTGAACAACCACAACCCGGGTCACCCAACGCTAACCATACTAAGAGTTTCGGAGCCTTATCCTAGCTGCTTTTCCCATCGTGAAATATTACCTCATTGATGATATATATATATATATATATGTGTGTGTGTGTGTGTGTGTGTGTGTGTGTGTG